TAAGCACTCTTTCCAGGTAATTTCCTTATTTGTTTTTTTTTAATAACTTTATTATTATTATTTTTTCTTTTTTACTAATTTTCTTGTTTTTAATATTCTCTTTTCGCTAATTTCTTGCTAATTTTTTCTTGCTCTTTTTGGGGGGCTATTTTTTCTTCTTCAAAAAACATGGGGAAAAAGGCATTTAGCAACTTGATAAGAAACATCCCACAAATTGCAGAAAAAAATAATAGATTTAGAGAATTATAAAAATAATAATAACAATAAAAAAATAGATTTTCTTATTATCATTAATAATGATAATAATAATAATTTTTAAGCACTCTTTCTGGGTCATTTTCGTTGCTCATTGCCTTCTTCCCATGTTTTTAAAAGAAATCAAGCCAATGTATTTAGTTTTTATATCTTGAACATTATTCTTAACTTTTAAAATATCCATTTTATTTTCATCAGTTTTGGCGACCCCTAGTGGTGGTCGGGACCGTAGACATACGTCTATGGTCGGGACCGCCAGGTTGGGAACCAGTGGCCTAGTGTGCTAGTTAGCATACTTCATACCTGAGACGCCATAAAGTATGCTAGTTAGCATACTTCATACCTGAGACGCCATCTGGCGGCGTACTAGCGTAGACGCATGCGCACATGACCATGTAGGTATCGGAACGTCTTCTAACACTTAGGCCTATTGCGCATGCGCGGCCACGCAAAACGTTTGAACGGTTGCGGAATGGTTTAATCAACCGCAGTCGGAAATGTTTGTAAAAGTTTGATTTTTGGCTCGGGACATTGACGGTGTGTGAAGGCATTTAAAGACGTTACATATATTAGAAATGTATAATAAGAATACTGTATATATTGACCTATGATATCGGTTACAGTTAAACTTAACGTTGACCTTCCCTGCCCATCTAACAGGTGTGTTTTAGCTAATGCTAATCACATGCTAATGGGCTACACTGTCTTCAGCTGAAGTCAACACATGGGGTGCTACAATCTGCTGCAAGGTAAGGTTACTCCTTTTTAAGTGGTCACAGTGCAGTGTTTACTTACAAGCCTTATCAGTAATGCTAATAATTGATTAGATGTTTCAGTAAATTCAACTTATAACGCAAACAAACCGAACATTCACTGTTTCCAGCTTCGAAATGTGACGATTTGCTGCTTTTCTGAGTTGAGTCACCACAAATTTAATATCTTTTTGGACGTTTGTTTGGACAAACAGAAAATATAGTTGTGATGGGCGTGTTCCCACACATTTCTGACATTTTATTTAGCCCACTAAAAGATTAATTAAAGAATAGTTGGTACAGTAAAAGTACAATATTGCAAATCAACAAATAAATCAAAAGGGAAAATGATTGCTGTTTGCTCTGCGTGTTTATGAAATATCCTGGTTTTTATGTTGGTTGGTTTTGCACGTGACTGCAGAAGAAACTGGACCATCATAGCTCCACTCTACAGTGTCACTGACCTGTGTAATCTGCTGTGGCTTCAAAATACATGATGTGTTAATGCTGGCTTTCTTTGTGCTGTTGAGTTTACTGTACTGTATTACTGCTGCTGTGCAGGGTCACTTCAAGATCATTTAAACATTTCATTTTAAGGCTTGTGACTTGGTTGTATAGGTCTTAACCATAACATTAAGCCCAATGTATGGAGCCTAAGGGTTGCTCTGAACATTTTAGATTTGGCAGAATAACATGAGGACTGTAGTGTGTATTAGGGCTAATGAAGATATTATATTGTTTTTGAGATATGAGACTGTATATATCTTCTTAGATTTTGGATATTAATGTATTGTGAGATGGCATCCCTCATTTTAAAGGCTGCATTACAGTAAAGTGATGTAAATGTATCAACTTACCAGACTTTGCTACTTGTTTTATGGCTTACCTTAACCCACTTATTTGCTATATCCACATTATTGATGATTATTAATCAAAAATATATATTTTTGAGAAAAAAGATAGTCATCCCTACAACTCTGTTGCATCAGAGAGGGTAATTGGTCAGTAAAATTGTTATGTTTAATTTTGTGTCCCAGTCCTAGCATTAATGAAACGCTTTTGCAGAGATTTAAAAATACAGAGATATATATCATGTATGGAGATATAGCCAATAATACTGTGATATAACATTCAGGACGTATCGCCCAGCCCTAGTCTGTATTGACACAAACTATTGTCGCTCTGGTTGGTTTGGGTCTGTTTGACATTTTGACTTGTCATAGTGTGGCATCCAGCACTCACTGAACAGAAGTGTGACGTGTGAGTGTGTGTGTACTAATGTTGATATTTGTGCTACATGCAGCATTTGATGATGTTCCTCATTATAATCATTTATTTTTTTAAGTAATTCAATTTAAAAATGATTTAAGGATGTTGTGTAGAAGAACAGTGTTCCTTGTGATTTAGAGTTGTCAACTCAAACTGAGAAACTGCTGAAAAGGGAAGGAAGTGGGAAGCTTAGAGGAACTTATACTTTATTTCTGTAGCACTGACTGAATGAGTAATTTTATTTCTGCTGTGTATTTTACATGTAAATATTTACAGTACATATTTCGTCTGTTTTCTTTAGATTTAGCTGTCCAATTGTTGGTGATGGGTGAAAATAAACAAACTTTTTGAATAACTCTTTTTAGTTTCTGGTATATACTGCAGGGTTTTCCACACATTAATTCATTTGTGGTGGCTCGCCACAATAAAAACATCTGCTGCCACATTTTAATTTTCCAAATTGTTCAAAATTCAGCAGCTAGACTTTTGACCAAAACAAAACGATCCTTGCATGTTACACCTATTTTGGCTTCCCTGCATTGTTTTCCAGTCTTTTTAAAAAGACATTTTGAAGTGCTTTTATCACAGACAAGGCTCTCAGTGATCTGGAACTGGAGTATATAACCAAGCTTCTCGCACCATACAGCCCAAAACAGGCCCCTCAGGTCTGCTACTCTGGGTCTTCTAACTGTTCCAGAGTCCAGATTAAAGTTCAGTTCTTGCTCCTCGGCGTTGGAGCAGCCTCCCACTGAGCATCAGATCAGCTGACTCTGTTCACATCTTTACATCTTGTTGCAAAACGTACATTTACAGATTGGCCTTTCCTGACAGTTGATAGACTTATTGTGTGTACGGGAGTGTATGTATTCAGCCATGTGTATATGTATGCATACAGGTATATACGTGTTTAAGTGTGGTTATCACTATCACCTATCACTGTCTGTTGTGCCTTAAAAACTCTGTATTAGATCTTGTGTGGAGGAAAAGCATTGCTGCTCTGACTTATAAAGGTTAAAACATTCAAGTTGGTTGTGCTTTGAACTACTTCGCATTGTTGCCCCCGACTTGTGGGGTTTATTTAAATATCTTAAACATCTTTGCCAACTCAGTGGATGGTAATGTAGGGTTGGCAGTGACAGGGATGCAGCGCACTGAGAAATTGTTAACCCAAATTGGAAGAAAAATCAGAATACTTGGCAAAACTGAACACAAATAAAATAAAAATTCTTGGCTGACTTTTTTGTTTTTAAGCAAGTCTTTCTACATCTTTCTGATTTTCTCTGCTCATGTCAGAAGCACCCCCAGCCACAACAGTAAATACATAGAAGTTTTTAAAGGGGGTCAATTTGTCTCTAATTCAAACCACACCACACTGCCCACCCCCCCCCCCCCCCCCCCCTCCCCCCGCCCCCCACCACCCCCACCCCCCGCCCCCCCCCCCCCCCCCCCCCCCCCCCCCCCCCCCCCCCCCCCCCCCCCCCCCCCCCCCCCCCCCCCCCCCCCCCCCCCCCCCCCCCCCCCCCCCCGCCCCCGCACCCCGGCCAATCAGAATCAAACCAGACAGCGTCTCTCTGTCTGTAACTTTTGTACATGTACATAAAAGCCTCCTTTCCCTTCAAGAGTGCTTACACCCCCAAAAGCCACACTCCCAACTTAAAAACCAACATCGGCAAATGCACCCTCCTTCCTCCTTTTCTCCACCCCCTCTATCACAACAATCCACATCCAGGTGATAAATGTGGTCGCCCCAGTGTGTAGTAACAGGTCAGAGGTCAACCTAACAGTTCTTGTGGGGTTTTGGGGGCAAACTGGAGTCACTGGGACTTGGGTTACCAGTCTGGTCACGCTGCTGCCACTCTTCCCAGCGTCACCACCACACACTACCAGTCTGGTCCAGCAGAGGGAGACAGAGAATCACATAACTACTCATTCTTTTCCAAACTATGAAAATGGCTCTTGTATTTCTATAAGAAATGTGTGTTAGATATCACATTTTATCTGATAAGCCCCCTCACTTGAACTGTCAGTTTAAAAAAGGTATTTAATTTGCCCCTTTGATATAACAAACTCAATAACTTAATACTTCCCTAGAACTGTCATACTTGTAGAGCTTACTTCAGACATACAGAAGCATTTCAACCCAAACTATTAGACAGTCTCCGCTCAGTCTTCCTAATTGAGCTGAAAGGATTGATTGATTTCTCAGTTAGTTGATTGACAGGAAAATACATCTGAATTAACAGATTTTCAAACCAAAATACCAGCTTCTCAGATGTGCGGATTGGCTTCTTAGTCTGTGTGATAGTGACTGTAAAATGGTAATTTTGGGGTTTCAGACCGTTGATTGGACAAAATAAGCTATTCAAGGACATCAGTTTGGGATTTAGGAATTGTTTGAGTGCATGTTTCACTGTTTTATACATTTATACAGAAGATAATGATTAATTAGCAGATTAACCAGTACAAATGCTCTTGTTGCCTGTGTGTCTGATCCTTGTGTATCAGTCTGTCTCTAAATTCTTACTTTGTTGCGAGTCCCTGAATGTAGTGCAGGCTGAATTCTTCTTTTTTCCCCCCTCAGCAGTTTTGAGTGGTAGGTGGGATGATTGGTCAGTCGATCCAATCAGAGCTGATTAGGTGGATGGATAAGAGGAGCAGATGCTGTGCAGAGTGGAGTGAAAGCAAACTTTTACACCAAGCACCATGAACGGTTTGGTTTCGCTTTCACTATGCCTGCCGTTCTGCTGCTCCATCTGTGCTTAGAGTACGCTCTGCGCTGCAAGAGTGTGGCGCAATGAATAACTGTATAATGGTATAGTGCTCCTAATGAACGGTCCAGCTCTAACAATAGAAAATCAAAACGTGGCGGCAGATGTTTTAATCATGGCGGGCCACCACAAATAAATGAATGTGTGGGAAACCCTGTGATAATAAAAACAGTCATATCAGCTGTAATATAAGATGTGCTTTCACAGTTTTTAAGAGAAATGAAAGGCAACATGGTGTATTTTTAGCTGCTCACCTCTAAATATGCTGGAAAAAAAGGTTTTGTATGCAGCATTCAGAACATTAGCACACACCACTAGTTGATATCTGAAGATATAATAGAATAATGGCGTTCTGAGTAGAGAATGAAGTCACGCTAATCCGAGTCTCTCTGTGTTATGTTGTCGTAAGCAGAACCATCCTGGTGTGCATGTTATCACAAGTGTGTATCCCACTGGCTGGCTCATCAGCGCTGCTGTGCGCTGTATTTACATGGGGGTTACCGCTAATATCGGGACAGCGTTGTTGTGGAAATTAGCACCCAGTCTACGGCTTCTTCCTGATTCAACTTTTAGCTCTGTCAGCCATGTTGTGTTGCATAGCGCTGTTTTTGAAGGTAGCACCGTTAGCTGCATTAAGAACCGTGTCCAGACAACTCATATGCTGTCAATGTTGGATTACTTCACCAGTTAGACCAAAAACTAATAATATGCAGTGCTCCTCATTCTTATTCTGTTTTTGAACAGTCTCTTCCTGGGTTATTTTGCACTCCATTATTCTTAGGCAAGCCAGCCCCCATCTGAAGCATAACACCTATAAGACAATGTTTCAGAGCGGCTGTAATTTGTCTTTTATTCGTAATTGTGCTGTGAAGAGGTGAATGGTTTCACAGTAAAATGAGCACTGTTTAAGTAAATGTACTGTTATTTCTTTTCACCATTGTTGTGCAGTGAAGGAAGGTT